CCCCAAAACCCCAAAACCCCAAAACCCCGAGGTGGTGTAGAGAGGTTGATTATTTGTATTTTAGAAGTGTATTTTTGATTTTTTTGTAGTTTTGGTTGAATTTTTTGGAGGTTACTGGATTGGATACTTTGTGAAGTAATTTCGAGTGATGTTCTTAGAATGAGCTCAAAGGGATAATTTTAGTTGAAAAATGAGAAAAGGATCTGAACAGTCTTAGATTGCCCGAGATGAGATACTAAAACTTTGTCGAAGCTTGTATATACCCAAATTTCAAAATTAAACAGATAAGTTCCTTCAGTATCCACTCTAATCTCATGTTCTCCAAAGAACTTGTTCAAGGCTAGTAAAACACTTCTCCATTAGCCCAACTCTTAGGCTAGTTCCGTCAGAGACAAATGATTTTGGCTTTTGTTCTGTTGAACAGATGCTGGATACTAACAAGAACAAGTACCCAGAATGGTTCTCTAGATGGGTGGAGGTTGATGGGGAATAGTTTGGGACTTACAAGTGATGGTTGGGTGGCAAATTAAGTAGATATTTGGAGAGAGAAGGGTGGAGGGTGGGGATATTTGTTCGAGGATTATGGAATTAATAGTTGAGCTTAATGGAGGTTGAGTGTAGAGAGAGATGATTTTGGATAGCAGATAGAGTTTATGAAAGAATATATTGAAGTAGTAAGTATATCAAAATATCTCAAATTTTGGGTAACTTTATTAGTGAGTTTAAATATGATTTCTGCCTATATGGTAGACTGAGCTTTCCATCTATTATAAATTTTATTTTGTTTCCAGTATTTATTCAGAGACTTATAATAACAAATCATTTACTTATAGACATCCTAAACTGCAGCATTTAACACTATTATTTTTATAATTTTGTTAGATTATAGACTAAACTAGTATTTGTCTACAACCCATTAGATATCTCTATACCCACCCATACAATTGGGTAATTCTTGAGATTAAGATAAAAGAGGATCTTCTAAACCCCCTAAATTGAATTTAAGTGAAACAAAATTCAGTGATTATAGTCCCTAATAAAGCAAATATGGTGCTAACCTTAAGCTTAGTCTTCACTTTCTGCTACAGATAAGCCCCAGTAAAAGTACCATATAATACTTGAGGTAGAATAATCCCCAGTAATTTATTAGAAAGTGACCCAACCTCTTCTGGTGTCTTCTCCTTAAAATGATTATTTTAGGAAAATATATTTTAAGTCTCCTTATATTTTATAAATAATGAGAATGTGCTAGCTGTTTGTATATTTTTGCATTAAAATTGCTTTTAGGTCAAAATTTTAATAGTAAGCTTGAAAGCATTAAGGTCTTTAACTTAATCCTTAGGTTTTGATATTTATTCTCCTTAGAGTCAGGATTTTGTAACCTAAGCTAAAGAACCACTTAAGAAGTTACTAGATGGGAGGATATATTAGTTTGATAAATGATGACAAGGTTTTCTGCCTTCTCCTCTAGACTAGAAGCCATTGGGAAGATATGGATAGAATAATGAAGAATTTGTAAAGATAAACCATCTTTAGGCTTAGCAAAAATTGGAAATATGCACAGTCTTTACTTTTGAGCTTAGTAAATAAATAAGTGACTTAAAGTAGAAATGAGTGTTCTTCATATAATTTATCAACGATACAGAATTTTTAAGAAGTTATGCTTGAAAATAATCAATTTCCTCTCTGGAAATTCAAATTATAGAACCAATAAAAGTTATGAGAAATCACTGTTAACTTGGCTCAACTGAAGTCTCACAGATCTTGAACTGAACTTACTCCAGAGCTTCAGTATTGTCTTTAATAATCGACCGAGCTTGACTCTCCATTTATTGTTATAAATTAGTTTTATTTTCAATATATATATTCACTGAAGGGGTTTTGGGGTTTTGGGGTTTTGGGGTTTTGGGG